CACTTTCAATGAATACCGGTTTAGCCGGATCTAATGCAGACCATTCTGCAAGTAATTCTTTGTGAAACTGGTAAGCTGTAGGTTGAGAAGCATATTGCAGGGGAGCAAAAACAGATCCATCGTGCCTGCACAATGTTTCCAGGTCAATGGACTGCTGCCCGTGCTGCCGCAGCCACTGTACCAGTGCAGTTTTACCGGATCCACTTAAGCCGGCAATCAGAAAAACAGGTGCTGAAATGTGTTGGGGTATAGACATAAAAATACCCGCTTAGGGAGAATTTGTTCTATAACTCTGCGTTCGACGCTATCGAGACTTACATGAAGAGAAGGAACCGGAACTTGCGCGCCGGGCAACTGCAACTGAAAGAACCGAATTGGACTACTAACTTCGATCTGAAAGACTCAAATATCAACTTTATTACGGGGTTTGAACTCTTTCCGTTCCAAATGCGGTGATCACATGATCTTGTTGTTAATACATGATGAAGTTACTGAAATTGAAACCGATTTACAAAATTTTATGCGGCTATTTTAACGGTATTTATATTTTACTGCCCATAGTGCATTCTTCGGAAAAAAGTATGCCACATACATTCCCCGGCTACCAATATGCGCAGCATTTACAGCAGACCCGCCGCCATTCAGCCTGTATAAAAACATTTCGTTGATTATTCTTTCCGCTCTTTTTTTACCTGGTCAAGAAAATCGAACTGGAGCCCGGCGGAGCCCTCTCCCCTGCCGTTACGTTTACGCTTGCCCAGCCAATTAACGGTTTTACCATTGTACCAACGGGTTCTCTGGAAACTGCTGCTTACCCTGGCACCGGCCCTTGGCACTTCTTCTTCATTCACGAACATGGCGGCCGTAACTTCGTCTTTTTCATCAACCCCATTGCGCAGCAGCGTGGTGATGGGACGAACCGGCGCGTACTCATTTTTAAACCAGCGTGGCATACTGGCCCGCTGTAATTTAATGGCGCGGTAACCGCCGGGTATATGCACCGGCACAAAAGGTATCCAGTTTTCAGGCACTGTATTTTCAAGTGTATACTTAAACATGGCAGACCCGTCTACCGGTATGGCTGCCGCCTGTGGTTCAATAATCTCAATGGCATTGCGCAGGTAACTGGCCACGGTATCTCCCTCCATATTGGTACCGGCCAGGCTGTTCATTTTGGCTTCAATGGCCCAAACCATATTGGCCATTTCATCTTTAATAAAATGTATCTCCTCTACGGGTTCACTTTCCTGCGTTTTTACCACACAGGGGGGAAGGAACAACCTGGTATCTGCAGGCGTATTTTTTGAATTGTCAGCCTGCCGTGCACTCAGGTTAAAAAGGCCCCAGGCCGTCCAGTCATCTGTATCGCCCTGTATGGCCGGCTTTACCAATGATCTTTCTCCAAAAACATCTGTGATAACAATACCCGGTATTCCGGTCAGGCTTCCTACCGGCAAAGACCAGGGTACCACCAGCCAGTCGTTGCCATACACCAATGCATATTCCGAAACAATCAACTTGGACAAATCTGTAGTATCTGCATCAATATTGCCCAGATCTATGTTCCCATCCTCAAACTGCCACCAGCGCGGATTGGGCATACCGCCAAATTTAGCCAGGGTAGGTATCACCGTTAGTATTTTTTCGCCCACCAGCGGCAGTTCCGCCGGCAATGCATTGCCCGATAGACCAGCTACCTGCTCACCGGCAGCAGCCACATCAAACGAATACCATTCCATATCGCCGGTGTAATATTCTTCTGCTTTCAATACCGTGTTTACAGCGTTCTTCTCCGGCAGGGAAACAGCAAACTGGTATTCCAGCTGCTCATTGATCCAGGCACCTTTTCCACTGCTGTTGTGTGCCGGCTTATATGTTTTCTCAAACCAGGCAGCATAATCATCCAGCGCCTGCGTAACCGCGTTTTTATGATCGCTGAACAACAGCAGTGCATTAATGGTGGCTGTTGCATTGGCTTTGTATGCTTCATACAGTAACACCCCGTCGAACCATTGGCTGCCATTGGCTGCTAAAAAACTACTCAACGGATTATTGACCAGCACACGCAGCTTTCTTACAGTGGCCGTATGTGCATCAGTATTATTTATCTGTTCAGGGAAAACAATTTCGTACTGCTGTTTCAGCCGGAGCAGGTAATTGTGGTAATTAAAAGCATTTACCACCAGGGCAGATGCAAATTTATTTTTCAGCAGCTTCATACAATGAGCAGCTGTTTTTACCCTGCAGTGGTAATCCAGCTGGGGCAATTCGCTCTCTACTTTTGCCTCTGCCGGAACAGCGTCTGAATATACTTCCTGCGGCTCGTTCACAGATTTATAGCGCGTAATCTGCGTACACTGCATTTTTATTTTTGCAAAAATGGCAGAGCCGGTATCTTCTCCCTGGAATTCGCCAAACTGCCACTGCCTGGTAAGCATCCACAAAGGATCGTGTACTGAACATTTCAATACATCGTCAAAATCCTGCTTACGGGCCCTTGGCTCCAGGCGGTTCCAGGCGCGGAACGGTTCACATGAAACACTGTCTATTCTTGGCATATCACTGATTTAAGGATTCACAATTGGTGGCTGATTAAAAGAAAAATCCATTACTACCTGCACACCCAGTGGGTTGGCATCCGGTATATCAACCAGCTGGGGTGGTGCTACTTCAGATAAGATACCCGGTAGTATGTGCGACAGTGGACTCTTGTCAATATGATCCGGCTCCACAGCCCGGTTCTTGGCCATCTCCAGCGTATCCAGCAAGGTAAATACAAGGTCTTCCCATTTCCAGGAACCTGTAACCACAGGTGTTACCGCCAGCAACAAAGACTGCGGTGGCATGGCATTGGGCTGGTTATAGTTAAGTGCAATGCCCGTGGTTTCAAATTTATTGGGAATCACTTCCATCCATTCATCCAGTATCAGCCCTGCCTGCTGCTGCACCGCCGTATTTTTCCACCGCCCGGGATTGATGAGCACTACCGAAAGCTTGTCTTCTGCCGGCGCATAATCTGCCGGAAACTCGGCCCCCAGCCAGTAATCCCCATTCTGGTAATTCAGTTGAACCGGCTGCAGGTCTACTCCCTGGTCTGCGGAAGACAATACCATGTCCATCATCTCCAGCGCGGCCATCTTTGGCCGCACCCTGCCAATACTCTGCAGCCATTCTGCCATGGCCATTCCACCCGCATGGCGCAGTATATCGTTACCAGCAGTGCTGTTTAACTGCGCTGCCAACTGCGGTTGCGCACTGGCGCTATAAACAGGCAGGCTCACAAAAGCCTTCCCAAATAATAGCTTAAATACCTCGTTGTAGTAAGAGAGAATTTGTTTACCGCTTGATTTTACAGTTACTTTCTTCAGCGTATCCTTTGCCTGCTGAATCCTGTCTTTTGCAATCTTACAGGCAGTAGCTGTTTGCTGAAGGTACTGCTGTGAAGCGGCCGGCAGATCGGTAGCCAGTTCAAACAGCATACCGGGTACGGCATTGGGTATACCATAAGGAATAACCGCCAGCAAAAAGTTTTTCATACTGGCAAACTGTGCATTGCTGAGTGTATCATTGGGTGTTTCCAGCTTTGTTTTCCCTTCCAGCAAATCTTTGGTAGCAGCATTGGCCAGTAAGGTATCCGTCACAGTGGTAAGATTCTTCAGCGCTTCATCCCCTCTTTTGCTGTACTGTACAATATCGTGGTTGCCGGGATTATTGGCATCCGGTGCGTTGGCCGACTGCACGAAATGATCTGCACCGGCCATCGCTGTTTGTAATACCAAAGTTCGCACCTGCGCCAGCAGGTGATCCAACTCATAAAAACTGCGGACATCACTGCTCCATCCATCTATTCTTGATTTGAAATCTACTTTCACCACCGTATCCTGCGGCAGTAAACCTTTCTGGCGGAACAGGTAGATAATATACTGCTTGAAATCTGCTTCGCTGGCCGACATGAAAATAAAATCAATGGGTTGCAGGCCCATTTCATCCAACCCCATTTCCTTTACGCCGGCAACGCCACCGGCAGGAGTACTCTCTAAAATACATTTTATATTCTTTGGATTACCGGTGATTTGCGCCAACCATTTATTCAGGGTAGGTTCTGCTTTTGCCCTGGCAGATGCCGGCGCCGTCCAGCCAGCAGGTGCCGCAAATACCGTCTGCGGTTCAAAGTTCAATACCACCCGCTGTGTTACTACCGTGCCCGACCTGGGCGTATCTACAATCATGGGATCAGGAATATTTTTTCCCTGGGCCAGGCTGTTTACCATGGCAGCTGCCCGTATATGGTTGCCCTGTACAATCTGGTACACGCTTTCAGAAATGGCCACATCGCCCAGCGCATCCAGCGCATCTGCCATGCGGTCAATTTCTTTTGCAATCTGAACGTACTCCTTGTTACCGCCGCCGTTGACAGTTACCAAATCATGCAGCCATTTCAATACGGTATTATTGGCAGCATCGGTAAGCACTTCAAACATGGTTTTGTCTGAAGGAAAATCAAGCCATTTTACTGCATCATAAATTTTATTG